AAAAATATCAAAAAGAAAATCAACTACTGAGAACTTCTTCAAACTTACAAACCCCTCCTCATCATCCCCCTCTTTTTACTCTTCATCTTCTACCGCCCTACTGAGGGGAGTTTTTTACATAACCTATTAGATAAGTTCAAATTCTTGTTAGGAATGTGTATCTGGGCTAGTTTAGGAATATTAGTAGGAGGTTTATTATTAGTTATTTTTAAGAATAAGGGGCAACTAATTCTGGATAATACTCCTGAGTTCTTAGAGTTTTGTAAAAAAAGTAATGGTTTAGTCTTTTTTGGACCTATTGGAAGTGGAAAAACGGCTATTTTGGCCATGTTAGCTAATGAATTGCCTGGGGAGAATAAGTATGCCACCTTCCCTTGTCAGTTGCCATGGGCAGAGAAAGGGCAGTTGGACTTTTCTTATGCTCCTAGTGGGAGATTAGGAGTTACTGAGACTATTTTTTTGGATGAGATTAATTTGTTGTTTAAAGGGAATATTGTGCAAGATGTCCGAGAACGACAAAGATTTTTAATGCACTTCATCGCTTTAAGTAGACATCAAGGCACCCGTTTATTTGTAAATGCCCAACGCCTAGGGCAAGTATCAATTGAGCAACGAGAAGTTACTACCGGGATTTGTCAAGTATCTCTTTTACAGAAGACTGATGAAGGGATTTATATCCAATGTACTATTTGAGAAGCAGCCGCTTGGACTAATAGTAAGACTGAACAGGGATTTGTAGTGTTTGTGCCTAAGAAATACCTTGATACCTATAACTCTTACTGATTAAAAAGTCTTAAGTATTTGAGACCAAAGCAGAATTATATTTAACTGTATCAGGTATTTCTAAGAAGTATTTGGTAAGAACGATTGAAAAAAGTTCTTCTTCTGTTCTTTGTAAAGGACAGAGATAGTTATAATTCGTATTGGTTGAAGAGTTTAAAGTATTTGAGACCTAAACAAAGATATATTTAAACATTATTAGACCACTTTCCTTAAAATTTAAAATATGCTAAAAGCAATTTTAGAATTATATGAGACATGCTCTAACAAAAAGATACAAAGTAAAAAAAGTATATATCGGAAATATATAAAACTTGCACTTTTGCCCTTTTTAATAAAAAACAACCCATATAAAAACGAAAAAAACTGAAAATTAGCAACCACAATTAATCAAAATCAAAAAAAAAAGAGGGGGATGATGAGGAGGGGTTTGTAAGTTTGAAGAAGTTCTCAGTAGTTGATTTTCTTTTTGATATTTTT